AGAGGTCTACCTTACCTCATTCAGAGCAAAGTATTTCTAACATCTTCAGCCAACATCATATCTTCTTACCCCACCTCTTATCAATATCTAATTTATCAACTCTATCAGAACTGTCTAATTTATCCTCCCTATTAGTATGTACTACTACAGTTCTCTATAAATTTTCAAGGTTCTAATAGATTTTTTGTTAGCAGCATAAGTTCAAAAACACACCTTGATACACTACTCACTATGTCTACCTATCTCTCTTCTCAACACTATTACAACTGTACAATTCCTTTGAACCAACTAGTATGTAACATACTAATTCTCCCTTGATTTTTAAAGTTCTAACAGTTTTCAAGATAGCAATTCTATTTCAACAAAATCATTCTACAAAATTGTTTAAAAAATCGGTATCCTTTCTGTCTCTTCCAAATGAGATTATGTTGGAAATTTCAAGCTATCTGTCGATTTCTGACCTGAACTCTCTTCTTCGAACAAACTGTCGGCTTGCAAACCTCCTCCAACATGTTTTAATCAATACACTATTTCAGCCACAAAACTTTGAATATGGTAGAAAAGCTCTCTACCTCTTCGCCTCACATGAAGATACAAAAAGTTTGTACACACTTCTCAATCGCGGAATACTCTCATTTTGCAGTCTAGTAGGTTGTGTTTTCAAAAAAGCAATTTGGAGAAATAAGGAGGTAATATTGTGTACACTCTTGGATTGTGGTATTAGTGGGAATACTCTCGATGATAGAGGAAATCAACCTCTAATTTATGCTGCAATGTCAAAAAATCCTCAAATGGTACCGCTTTTACTCTCTAAAGAGGAGTATGATATTGATGTTAATACATCTCAAAGCGACTTTGGTACACCATTAAAGGCAGCAATAATGTCTAAAAACATAAAAGTTGTTAGTATGCTGCTAAAGCATCCTAAAATTAATTTGAACCCTCCTGACCCTCATTTTGGATCGTTATCTATACTTCAATGGGCAATCAATATAGGGAATATGGACATTTTGAGACTTTTACTTGCTGATCCTAGAGTCAATATTAGCAGAACATCTAATGGTATGGAAATACCACTCATGTATGCTATATTCAGAAAAAATGTGGATATTGTTCAACTGCTCTTACAGCACCCAAGGCTTGATGTCAATGCCTCTATTCAACATCCTCATTGGAATTTTCTAATATATCAGGTAAAACAGATGAAGGATATAACTCTACTACGGATCCTATTACAGGATGACAGGATTCATCACAATCCTGTAAACTAATACTACTTTGTACCATCACATATAGATGGCGACTCAGGTGAAGAGGGTTCTATTTGGGAATGGTAGGATGATATTGCAAATCATAGACTAGGCGGGGAGGGGGAATTGCAAGGATATTATATAGGAAGGTCAACGGTGGAGATATTTGACCGGTGGTAAACAAACAATAAAATAATGGAGGAGTGTATATAGATTTCTACTTGTACAGCACATGCAATAAAACTCCACTCAATTAAATCAACACTCACTTTTCTCGTTATGATAGCAGTTCCCTCGCACAAAAGCTCATTGCTTGACCCATAGCGCTTAAGTGACCGAATAGAAATTGCCTTTTTCATCGCCTATAGTTAACGCTCCTAGGCAAGCAGGGTCAGCGATAACATCTTCCACATCACCAATGGTCAAATGTCAATTGGCCATTCCACTTCCTTCTTCACAACCTCGCTTCGAGTTCTGGAAACCTTTTTGTTCATAAAAACAACGGCCATAACCATCACAAGGGATTTTTACCACACCAAGACCATCAATCTACTCAGGCTTCGCAGCCGAGATTTTTTCCTTCCCCATTTGTCGTAGCCTATGGTGGACGGTTCTTTTCCGCCGAAGGGACCAATTATTGGAGGTTTGCAAGCGGAAGGTCACATAGCTAGCTAGCTTACATGACGGGATGCGGTGGAGATTTGAATGAGTGGATATGTTAGAGAAAGCTGTAGGTGGAGTAGTAGCCATGTTTTGGCAGACTATAGCTAGTCCGTACTCCATTCTCCACCCGACTGTCCACCGCTGGCAAGGAATGAAAAGAAATTACGATAGGGATAGTAAAGTCTTTCAGGTAAAAACAAAAATTCGGGGTATATTACTATAATACTATCATACCAAGCACCCACTAAAACGAAGAAATGAAGAAAACGCCCTCTAGAACCAGTTTTGTCTACCCACCTACCTACCAACTACACCCCCAACATCCGGATCCTCCCTCAATGCAGCCTTAACCTCCTCCTCACCAATCAGGAACCTAACTCTCCCCCCGCCCCCGCCTCGTTTCTCCACACTAAGAACTCCAGATTCGACCAATCCCTTGACCGCAGCCTCTATTCCACCAACCCTCGGTCCACCGCCAAGTTCTTCCTCTGCAACGCCCTGCATTCGAACGATTCTTTCCGCCTCATCAAGGACATCGCGGAGAACACCTTCACCGACCCCCGAGCGACGGCTACGGAGTAACAGAGCCGTGATGAATATCTTGGAAGAAAGGGAGGTGGTTTTCAGGAACATTTGTAGAGGGGAAGAGGTAGCTTCTTGGATTGCCTGTTTGACAACGGCAATGGTTACTCTCCCACCAGCTTTGAGGCCACCGCCGCGCGATGGAGAGGAGACGCCTCCGCCCTTCCTCCTGGATGGTGAAGGGGGCGCTTGCTCATCACCTTCTTTGTTGGAGGAGTATTCGACAATCTCGACTGCACGCCTACATATATCTAAGGCTCTTCTGGCGTCGCCGGACACGGCGGCGACCTTTCTACTGGCGAATTGAATGGCGTCTGGGTCCACAATGTTACCGGGCACACCGCTCAGGCGGGATTGAATAATGGTCATTAGTTGTGAATGGGTGTACCCAGGAAATGTGATTCTAGTAAGACCTATTAAACAAACCTAGCTAGATTTCTCAATAGTTAAGGGTGTATCGGCCAACCTAATCGTGATGAGATTTTATTGCTCAAGGTTCTTTCGGGCAAGTCCAGGTATTGGCAACGGCCAAAACAATAAGCCTGGAATACCGTCCCCCAGGCCAGTTGAAAAAATTGTACATGACTCCTTGGCCTCGCGTAACCAATTGATCGAGTTCATCCATCAAGACGACGCAAGGAACCCTTCGAGGACTGGGGGTGCTGAGCTCGGACTCCAACAATCCCAAGGCTTGCGAAGGGCTTACACGATCGCCCTTAATCGCCTCCCAAAGAAGAGAATACGCTTGGTGGGGATCCGTGACCTTCATCCCATTAATCTCGACAAAGGTAAAGTCGTCCAATTCTTCCAAGGTCACCAAGTACTGCAACTGTGAAATAACCTCACGAACTGTAGCAGTTTTTCCAGTCCCAGGGGTTCCGGAGATGTAAATACACGATCCGGTTCCCTCCGCAATAGCAGCAGAGAGGTGAGTGTACACCTCTGTAAACTCAGCCTCACGACAAGGCAGAGACGGCGGAAGGGTAGATACATGCAACCGGTGGCGAGCAAGTGCGTAAGGGGTTGACAGGTGGGTACCCGGGGACAGTGTACGAGTTGAAAGAGGGGTAAAGAGCAAAGGTTTCTTCACCACTATTCTGGAGAAATGTTAGCAAATTATCCGGACAAGTCGACAGATCATCTAACCTCTTGTGCGTAGGAGTAGTGTATTTCCTCGAGACGCTCCCAGGAGTCCGTCTGGTTGGGGTGGTAAGAGTGGATGTCTTCTTTCTCTTACTTGGAGTGCGGGGAGCTTTAGTCCGTCGACTGAAATTCGGATCATCCTCCACTACATCGTCCAACTCTGCAATTTCATCCTCATCCAACTCATCCCGATCCCATTCCTGATCTACCTCGCCATCCTCATCATCTGCTTTACGCCTCTTGGGCCTCCGTGCGCCTTGGCCGACAGATTTGTTTTCCTTCCGCTTAACCACCTTGGTCCCATTATACACCATCCCCCCGACAGAGGCAATGTCAGTGTCCCTCCCTTTCCAGAAGTCCTCCCAAATAAACTCGGACGTATAAGTTGCAGTCCTGGGATTGCACCCCCGTCGGCAAACAAAAACCTTCCCATACTCCTTGGATTTCTTCTGCACGCCGTTGGGATACTCTTGGTTATATTTTTGAGGAGAAAGAACCTTTGCCCGACCGTTTATGGACGGCAAGGGGATCAGATTATAGGAGGGATTAATATAAAGCTCATTCTACCCCCCAGAAATCAGCGCACAGAACATGTAAAAACAAACAAAGAAACAAACCGGTAAATAATCCATCCGCTTCTTCTCCTTATTCTTAACCTCAAACTCAGTAGAAAACCACATGACATTCGCCATCTTTTCCACCCCACCCCCGTCCTCAATCCTCCCCTCTTCGCCAAACTCACATATCATCCCGACATATGCTTCGCCCTGCAGTCCTTCCCCCTTAACGAGCACGCAGTCCCCGATGCCGATATTGAATTGTCCCATTCTGGCGCCGATTTTTATCCGTCCCTGGTCTGCAATGACCGGGTCGGCCACCCCCGGCTCTCCGGAGTAGATCCATTCCCATGGGAGGTCCTCGTCGCCAAGTTCATCGTCTGAATCCTCGCGTTGAACGCCGCGAAGGATCTTGCGCACTCGGTTGATGTTGGGCTGCTTTCTCTTCGCCGGGGGATTGACTGAGGGCGCCATATGCAGCAGTTTGTGATTGCGAAGGAGGGATGAAAAACTTGGGGTGGAAGAATGTCGAACAAAGAAACAGGAATGGCTACAGGTGAAAAAGGGGAGAAGACGCGTGTGGAAATTGATGTTTTCTCGTGTTCGGCGGCTCTAATTTGCCAAGTTCCATGTATCACGTGAAAACGCACCATGCACTTTGCGCAAGGAAAACTTCAACAAGATTACCGGTACTGGTTTACTGAATTATATCACAATCAGTTTAATTTCACGAACTGTTTCCCGTATAAAGCGAGCATTAGTTGAGAGTGGAAAGAGAGGTATTTTGAAGGAATACCAACACACATCTGAGTTTACACCAAAGCACTATATTTTCGTATGTATTATCACACTACAAGTACGTAAGAAGAAAAGTGAACAAAAGAGGTCGACTTTTGATGCCGGGCGCTACAACAGGAGGTAGTTCGCGAATCCTCCCTCCCCGTCGGCGATACAAGGATAAATAAATTATATTGAACTCCCCGATGCAATCACGACACCAAGAAGCTAGCCAGCCTCTTAATCCAAATACTTGTCAATCCCCCCATTCTCCTCCTCCAAATTCCTCCTCTCAGCCTCCCTCTCCGCCCTCTTTATCGCCTCCCTCTGCCTCCTCCTAGCTTTGCTCCCCCACCCCTCCCCCTCGCTCTCGTAATCCAGAGGGATAGGCTTATCCTTATCCACCGTGACCTCCTCCTCCACCTGCGATTCGCTCTCCTCGAGCGTCTTCATGTGCGCTTTACGGGCGTAGATTAGGAAGGCGCGACGGAGAACTAGATAGCCGCAGACGCAGACGACGAGGCGGATGGTTGATAGAACGGTGTATTGGCGACCGAGTAGGGTGAATGCTACGGCGTTGGGTTTGATGCCGGCGTCGCTCAGAACTTGGCGTAGTTCTTCCATTGTGGAGTGGTTTGTGAAAAGAAGAGGTGGTGGATCGGGAGGAGTTGGTTGGGAGGTGTGGTAAGGAGCGGAAGGCGGTGAGAAGGATGGAGGAGTAATTTCTCGCTTTTAGGTGTACGAGTAGGTGTAGGTGAGGTATTTCTAGCCAGATTTTCTTAGTCCGTGCGTGGCAAGTAGCGCAAATGAGGAAACTCGATGCTTGATCATTACCGCCCAGCGCGAGAGTGTCACCAACTACCAGTACGGGACCATACTCAAGTCGCTGGAGTATTTTAACATGCAAAAAAAAAACAAAAAAACATAACTTCAGTCCGGCGATTCGGGCACAAGCCACTGCAAACTCTCTATCTAACCCGGAGGTATTCTACAACACTGTACCGGCACCAAATGCCACCCCATCTCAACTTCTCAATGCAAACGCAACCCCCAATCCAATCACCACTCCCATCCCAGCCAATACGGTCAACACCAACCCCCTGATAGATCTCCTGTCTGAAATCTCATCAAATTCACCATCCAACCTCTCAGCCATTTTCTCCCTTGAAAACAACTCGATAATCCTTTCCCTTCCACGCGTAGCCATGTCCAGAACGGCCCCCTCCTCCATCTCGAACAATGCCATTCGCATCACCGCAGCCCATTGCACACCTTCCGCTGGCCTTAGCCAACCCGTCCTCCCTTCCTCAATCGTTTCCAAGGGTCCACCAGAGTTGTGCGCTAGGACGGGAACACCAGCAATCATGGCCTCCAGCGGAACGATGCCAAAGTGCTCTTGAGCAGGAGTGTAGACGAGGAGCGAGGCCGTCCTGAGCAAATAATTTTTGAGTGTCGCCGGGATGGAAAGCAAAAACAGCACATCCGTATCCTCCGGCACCGATAAGCTCGATATAAAATTTCGCGAAGTGGCGGATCTGAGGCCTAGCTTCTCACAAAGCATCACCAGGTCGCTATGGTAGGTGACATTCTCCGAGACCCTGGCATCGTAGCCTCCGGCGATGACCAAGCGCGATCGACCCCTCTGCTCCCGGGCGAGCAGGGAATACGAGGCTATTGCCAGATCTATATTCTTCTTCCGTTCGAACCTGTTGATGGAGAGTATCACCTTTCTCCCATCACCCGGGAGGGGCGGATCGCTATCGATAGCCCTCGAGGGCGAAGCGATGGTAGCAGTAGTGACGCACGGATACACCACCCTTGGAACAAGCCCGATCCTCGGGAATGCGGTGGCAAAGACGGATCTTGTGAAAGCCGAGTTGACGACAATCGTGTCGGCCAATCCGGTGGTGAAGCCCTCAAACCAATCGAAGGGGATACGGTAAAGACTCTTGATGAATGAAGCCCTCGCGGTGAGCAGGTAATCGGGGAAATGGCAGTAGAACAGAATCTTGGTTGGCGGCGAGAAGAAGCGAAGCAAAGGGATCGCGGCTGAGAGCTGATCGATGAAAATATAGTCGTGCTTCGATATCTCACCCGTGAGGAGCAAGGTCAGCGTGAGGTGGACCTGTCGTAATATGGCGCAGAGAATGTTGAAGCGTCCCAAAAGGTTCGGTGGAAGGATTGTATTCCCAGCGACACGAACGTCAAGCGTTCCTAAGACACACGGTATCAGCCCATGAGCTCCAAGAGCACCTCAGCAGAGTGTGTACTGACCATCGCGGGCTTCGTCAAAGCAGTGTCTTTGATCACAGTGAGAGGTGTAAAGTGTTACCGTGTGACCCCTCTGTTGGAGTCCTACGGCAGCATCGATGACGAGCCTCTCAGCCCCTCCGATTCCCAGGTCTGGGTGGATGAATAGAATCCGCTTTCTCGACATTTGGCGTTGTTCTTTTCAGTCTGGAGGCGATGGAGCGAGCCCCTGACACCCTGACCGCCTATGCAACGGCAACACCGAGCCTCATCTCAGTATTTTGTTTTTTGTTTCTTCCGCACGGAAGGAGGAGGTATCGTAAAAATGTGCTGTAGATTTATCAGATGACCGGTAACCGTGCCAAGGTTCCCGCCATTTCGAAAGACGCTAGGCGACCTACGAAGATTGACGGCACTGCGTAGGAGTGCCGGACAGTTCAACGAGATGGACAGCTCAATGGAACTTTTATTATACATGGGTAGAATTATTGAAATTTTCAACCACAGAACGCCCTACATTACAAAACAAATCCTTCTGAAGCTTTTGCCTCTTATTCTGATTCCTCACAGCTGCTCACATTTGCTTAGAAATTTCCTTCCATTGTTTCTTGACCTTCTTTTCTGCTGCTTTTGTCACCACATCAAGTGTGCACTATGTCTGCTGAACCTGCTTTTCAATGCTGTCCTGCTTTTTCTGCTGTACCATTGTCCTTGCCTCATCAACATTCATAGTCCTACCCTTCGGAAGAGACCTTCAGCTCCATTTCTGTCGTATAGCACGAACAAGTTCAGTAGCTTTGTAACGTGTTCGCAAGGTTCTATTCACATTATCGGTAATTGATACGATAGTTGGCAGGTGGCCTGCTCTTCCAGAGAGGAGGCGAGAGCTGAGAACTAAAGGAGGCTTCGAGGGTGTACTGAGGAACAAAGAAGTAACCGTTCAACCAAGTATATTGAAATACTGTCTATCGAAGTCTGCCTTTTCTATCATAGAAACAGGCGGTCTTTAAATACACAAATCGGTTCATGTCTAGCATGAACGAAACTGATCAAAGGTATCAATCGATACACTTTGGTAAAACTCCATAAGTATCAAAGCGATACTTAAGACAAAACATAAAACAAAACCAAGTATCAAACGATACTTAAAACAAAACAAGTATCAAACGATACTTAAAACAAACCAAGTATCAAAGCGATACTTAAAACAAACCAATAACTGTATACCCGTACCGGTTACAAGCTTTCATTTGAGTAAGATTGTCAAGTGCCTGGCCTGCCATATGTGCCTGCACGAGGCTGCTCTTAAGAAACATTGGTAGACTCTTGCTTGTCGATAGTGAGAGTTTGCCAATGTTTGATAGAAGACTATCTGCATGTCTTTTAAGAGTCCAAACTGTTTGGGGAGTTGTAGGTAGGAGTTCTACCTATTGCAGAGATGTGGATGGAGTTTGAGTATAATGGAATTCCTACTCTGTAAGCTTCTCCAGTACAATATCAGGATTGAAAGAAATCAATCCGGTATTTTGGAAGGCAGAGTGAATTGTTGTAGGCTTAAGTGTAAGAAAACGGATAGAGTTGAGTGCATTCAAAAATTTGATCTTGTCAATGTCATGAAGGTGGCTTGGCACAAAAAAGGTTTTCACATGACTCATGATTATGAGTTATAGGTATGTTATTGTTTTACGCGTATGACTCATTTGGGTCATATGACTTGTTATGTTATAATTTGTTATGTTTCGCACATGACTCGATTATAAGTCATGAGACATGCGCCTGGCGAGTATGCCTTATGAGTATTCCTTGTGAGTATGCCGTACGCATATGATTTATGTTTTGCACATGACCTCGTTATGATGTCATGGGTTTCACGCATATGACTCATTCGAGTTACATGACTTGTTTATTGTATCATGATTGCTTTATGAGTTTTCGCACATGACCTTGCTATAAGGTCATGGGTTTCGAGCGTATGATCACTTTGGTCACATGATTAGTTTGTTATGATTTGGTTTCGCACACGTGACCACTTTTGGTCACATGACTATGGGTGGGAAGAACACTATATAACGAGGCCGATGCGGACAAGAAGGATAGATTCTTCACTCTTTGTTCTAAGTACTTTTTCTCGTCCTTGCTGTCACTTAGTCCTGCGCATTTCTTTCATACCCATGGTGGGCCTTGATGCCTTAGATTCTGGGGGAGATATCTGAGTTTGCTCAGTAGTTCCTGGGGTCCTTGGTGTTGAGGTCTATTGGTATTGCATGGCGGATTACTTGTTTGCTTCTCGTTTCGTTGCCTGCTGGTTATCTCACAATACTGGCGCTTGGAGCTACTGATCGCGGTCACTTAAGAGCCCCTTTTGGTAAAATGTTTTCGTCTTTCTGTCTATCATGTACTCGTAGGTTTCACGTTCCATTGGGGGGATTGAACATTGTATTTCGCGGGATCACTCAAGTCATTCTCCGGGCCAGCTCATGTTTCTTGCTGGGTTGAAACAGAGTCCTTAGTTCTTACTATACAAAACCCTCTTAGGTCAGACTGATGACCTTCCCAAGTTCAACTCATCGTACCGGCCACATCATTCCTCAGGTGGCAGGGTGGTACCCGCCTGGCACCTCCTCATTACATTTTCGTTTCTACGGTCGGAATTCTACAATGTTGTTTATCGCAGTTCCATTGTAGGTTTTATCCTTGCGGCATTTACAGTGATTCAGTCAGGTGTCTCCTCCTCGCCTCAGTCGGGATGGCTTTGACCCTGAAAAATCTTACCTCCTGATATGGTTTTCCATTGCTGCCTGGGGTGGTGGGGGACAATTGGCTACTAGACACTCGTGTTGTCTGTGTATTTGGGTGGTTCGGTTGTGGATTGTAGTTGGCAGCTTTACCCATTGCAAGTGAAGCCTACCTTCAATTTGTCTGCTCCTGTTTGTGCACCCTCACTCTTCATATCGCATCAGTTGGGAGTGCCTATTGCCCATTGTTGGGTCTGGCTTTAGCTGGCTCTGCCTACTCTTTCCCGGCTTGGTTGGACTTCTATTCGACTGGGTTGGATGGTATGGCTAGTACCGGTCCCTTCGGGTGTTTGTGCTGCCTTCTTTGGGGCTCCTGACTATGGCTGGTGTGTCACACTCGGCTACAAGGAGCTGGGGGTTGGGGCTCTGTTGGTGTAGCCAAGACTAGTAGCTGGCTGATGGAGTTAGGTATAGGCTGCCCTGTCACTATTGGATGGTTGATCTGTCTGAGGGGCTGGGGTACTGGATGGGCTCTGTGGCGTCTGGTGTGTGGCACTTGTAAGAGGCTTATTAGGGAGGGGGAGGCACCTGAGAGCCCTGGTGGGGCCTGCGTCAGGTGGGGCAAGGTCTAATTAAGCATTTCCAGTCTGGCTTTAGCTATTGGGCGACTCTGCTGAGTGTGGTAAAGCTCTACGATGGACCGGCTGGCTGATGGCCACCTGTGCATATAGCGAGTTGTAACTACCTGGTTGGACTTGTTTGGGTATTGTGCGCTGTCTTTCGTGGTGTTTGTTTGGTTTCTTTGGCTTGGCTACCGGTTTGGCTGGAGGAGGCATAGCACTACGGGTGGGAGATAGGCTCCACTAACCTTTGCGGTCTGTCACCACCTTTACGTATTTCTTTTGTTGAAATGTTGTTTTGTTTGAGGGACAGGCAGTGGGTAAAAGTCCTCCTCACCGGTATACTCTTCAGAGGTAACTAGCAAGGTGGGTTCATGAGGTTGATGGCCTAGCATGCAGGTGGGAGAGGTGGATATGTGGGTTTAGTTTGATTTTTGTTGGATTTCTACTGTGGTGGAGGTTTCACGGGATGGTGTTTAGACTGGGGGGTAGTGTTTTATATTTTGTTGGATGAGGAACCTGCTTGGGTTGGTCTTTTGCTCGGCTTCAACTATGCTTAGTGCTGGTTGGCTTCATACTAGAGGGGCTATGAACTTGGACCAGAGTGGGTGCTGGGTTGTTTGATGGTCTTGTAATTAGTTTCCCTGTAGGCATGACTCAGGGCTGGTAGGTGTGGGGTGGCAGACTTAGTTAGCTTAGGATTAGTGGTATACCGGTTAGCGGTATCCCTGTACCGGCGGGAGCTCGTTGTATACCAGTATGAGTGGTATCAGTTTAAATAAAATTAGATTGAATACTAAGTACTTTTCCTACATATGACTTTAATGAATAGAAAACACCTTTACGATCTTTATCTTTATTGCAACATTATTATTATGCCAAGGAAAGCTCTTCATGAAGAAGACATAGAGAAAGCTTATGATAGGCATTCCCGATAGAATACAAAAGTCTCGTACTATCAGTAATAGAGGCAGAGGCCTAGTGTTATCATAAGACTAAGAAAAGAAACAGAAGAAGAAGAGAAGTATCGTTTCCTGTCGCTAAGAACTAACTATCTGAGGAGGGATCGTTATATTACAAAGCATCACTTAGAGCAACGCCAAACGATACAAGACAGCTTCCTTCAACCCAGACAGGGAAGCAGATATCGACGTCGACGATTCAAACCTTGATCTAAGGGAATCTAGCAATGTCCTAGCTCACGTTTCAGCAGAGCCCTCAAGGGCAGCCAGTCCAATAACCACAGAGAAAAGATCACCAATCAATAGCTCTCCTGCAGGAACGCCACGACCAGAAAGGATGTCGGAATCAGCAGTACTGGGGCCGCCAGCCCCAGCCACTCCGGTACCAGGTGCCAATATACTTGGAATGACTGAAGACCAGTTTCAGACATTTCTCGCAGAATCACGATACACGGGCCAAGGAAATATCCAACAGCCAAAAGATATCTTCTCCAAAGAACATGACACATACGCAGGAGCCGAAGATAAGTTACAAATATTCTTAGCACAATGTAAAGGATATTTCTCTGTCAAAGGATATGGAGAATACCATGACGAGATCAAGATTTCCTTTGTTGAATCTCTGTTAAGAGGACTCCCAAGGCAATGCATTATGCCATTCTAAGATGGAAGGAAACAAAGGGACTGGGTCACCTCTGCAGAATTCAAGGCGGTCCTATTTGAACAATTTCGCGATCGTAAAGGTAAAAAAACCACAAGAGGGAAGTTGGAGAAACTCTAACAAGAAAAACAGAGATTTTCGGCATACTGGAATGAATGTCGACTATTGGAATATGAAGCAGAATACGACGATGCTATTCTCTATATTATTCTGCTAAGAAACTGTAGTCAGAGACTACGAGAAGTGTGGGGAATCTCGGACTTGAGCTATAAAACTTCAGAACAATTTGC